CGGTAATTTCTCTGGAACTTGTTCCCCTTCTTTAATGGACCCAATCTCTAAAATACGGAAGTCCTCGCAGTTGGTTTTCCACAGTGATATAATTGTTGCTCGGCCTTCTTATGGAGATGCGCACTGGTGACGGTTGCTTGTATCCCAAACCTTCACGTGGTTGCCTCGTAGCAGCTTCTGATGGGAGCTTCCCTAACTTTGACGGCTCATTGGGATTATATCTAGCCTTTACAAATAACTTGTAAGCAATGGGATCAAAACATCCATCTGTACGCTTTGTAGGGAGCACCACATTCTGAAAATGATTTTGGGCCACAAACCTTGCAAGAGGCGTTGAGGACAACATTACTGCCTCAATTCGTTTGGCCGGAAGAGTTAACCCCTTTAGCATGTTAGTTTGGATATTAGATGATTCATATTCATCTTTCTTCTTTATAGGGACATATTGGAACGCAGGAGTTACTTTCTTGTCGTAAGACATAATATCCCCTCTATAAAATTTATTCACGTTAGGTTGTACCTCTTTAGTAATAGCTTTGGCTTTACCAGTAGTCACCACAGCTCTTTTAGTTGTGGGCTCGTCATTCTTGCTTTTCATGACATCATCAATTTTTAGCTCCTTCATAATGAAGTTCTTCAAGTAGAACTTTGCATCGGCGAAGTCTGACTCAGCCTCGGTGAATGACTCGTCATCACCAACTATCTTCTTCTCGACTTTATCCTCGTAGTATTTCAAACATTGATGGTAGGTAGATGGAACCACTTTATTCTCTTGTATCCAAGGCCTTCCAAGAAAGACGTTGTATGAAGTCTTTGCATCGATCACATGCATCCATGCACTTGATTGCATATCTACAATGGTGATCCCCAACTTGATCGCACCTATGGCTCTTTCCCCCTTTGGTTGAATCCTTGGATCATCACACGACTTTCCGAGAGTTCGTTCGTGGGAATACCAAGTTCTTTCGTAGTGCGAATCGGAAAGATGTTCACTGAGGATCCTCCATCAACCAAAATTCGATTTATCCTTTCATCAAGCATATATCCAACCAGGTACAATGGGCGGTTATGAAGAGTGACACCTAGTATAAAATCGTCATCTGTGAACGTAACTTTTTTCTCGCACGCGTTAAGTTCTTTAGGATAGACTCGATGAGCTTTTCTGAAGATGGTGCCAACGGTTATCACTCTTTTCTTCCCCTTTATCAGCATTGCAACAAGAGGCCTCAATACCATCACGGAAAATCTTCATGCGGAACCAACATGGCAAGAAATCCTCCGAGGTCACTGGATGTCGTGGCTTTTGAGGATAGTGCACCTCCACTTTTGCTTTCTTGAAACGCCTAACTGGATTCTATTTCATTGGTCTATTTACCATCATTTTCCTTGTTGGTTGTTCTATCGATTCTTTTCATGGGCTCCTTTTATGGCGCCAACGACGAGTCACCAACGTCTAACCTTCATCATCATCAGGTTGATCGACTTCAACTTTGTTGTTCTCCAATAATTTGTCATATTACTTTCTTTAAAACCACATGCCAAAGGTGATAGAGACTTGGTTTGCGCTTGCTTTTTCATCTTCTTTTCACGATCCAAGTCTATAACTTTGTCCTTGAAGACAAAGCACTTCTTTAGAGGGTGGCTCACAAGTCGATGGTATTTGCAATAATTTGGGTCATTCGTTTTACCAGCTTCATCTGGCCGCTTCATCTCCGGAAGCTCAATGAGATTTAACTTGAGGAGTTCTTCAAAAATTGCTGGCACATCAGAATCTAGAAATGGGTACTCCTTCTCTTGCATTTCTTTTAGAGTCAACTTCCCACTTTTTTTATCTTGAAAAGAAGTGGATTTCGTACTCTGCTTCTTGCTCCCCTTCGTTGTGAACTTCACAGGTGATGTGTTGACATTCATAGCTTCTTTGTTTTCAGAATTGGGTACAAACTTGCTCCATTTCCTGACTTCTTAGTTGTTGTTCCCTTTGCGAGGCTCATAGATAGGCATCCTTTTATTTCCAAGGGAGGCCATGTTTAACTCCATGTCGTGGGCACGAGTCGAATGTTCTTCAAATGTGCTAGGCTTGATACCTTGCAAGATGTAGCGGTGTCCCAATGCATGCCTTGGATGCACATCTCTATGCCAGAAGCTTCACTAAGCCTCTCTTTGCAGTTGAGGCTTGTATTCCTTCAACGATTGATAAAGTCGATAACTGGTTCACCCTTTCGTTGACGAATATTTGTAAGTTCTATCATACTCATAGTATGTCTCGTGCTATAAAAGCGATTGAGGAACTCTTGCTCTAGTTGATTCCAGCTATCAATAGATCCAGCCTCGAGGTCTGTGTACCAGTCAAAAGCATTTCCTTTTAGCGAGCGGACAAACTGCTTGACGAGGTAATCTCCATAAGTCCCAGCATTGTTGCACGTCTCAACGAAGTGCGCCACATGTTGCTTTGGATTACCTTTACCGTCACACTGTTGAAACTTTGGAGGTTGATAGCCAGCAGACATCTTCAACATATCGACCCTTGCAGTGTACGGCTTTGTATATGTAAGGGAGGACTTGCAACAACTTCATACTTGTTCTTAGTGATTACTTCAATGAACTCCTTCAGTTGAGCGATTGGAATCATCCTTTCAGATGAGACAAGGATAGCCTTAGCGGATGTTACTTGTCTTGGGGGAGAATCACTCTCTGGAACTTCTGGGAGCTTGCCAGGTGCGTGGGTGGATTCTTCTTCTATCAAGATTCCCATCATATCTGTTAGCTTGTCGATTCTAGCATCTTGATTTTGCATGCACTCGGTCAAGTCAACGATTGCTTCCGTCAAGTTTGCCAACTACTCCTCCATAGATGAAGTGTTTGTCACCATGGGTTGCATGATTGTCGTGGACGATGGAGAGTAGCATGGATTGTCACACAGATTGATCCTCGATTGGCTCACGCTATGTGCTGTAAGTGGGGAGGATCCATCACTTAAAGCATCATCATCTTCCTTTATATTAGAGTGCTTGGATCCGGAGAGGTCAAGCAGAGCAAGAGTTTTCTTGATCCTTTTAGCAACATCGCTTCCTCCTTCGGGTGCGTTTATGGAAGATCTTGCTCATTTTGAGGATGAAGATCTGAAACCAGGGGTTGATGCGGACGGCACTTGGGGTGCTTGTTGTCCTACAAAGCTTGCTTTGCTCCTCGTAACTGATCCAAAGCTTCCAAAGGTAACATCGAGGATGCTTTCCACATTAGCATAGAACCTAGAATTAGTAGCCTTGGTGGAAGTTGAACTGGAGTTGATTTTTTTTTAAGCCATTTCAATGTTCTTGAACTTTGGTGATTGAAAAGTTGAGATGAGAGGTAGAGATTGTCCCACCGGGCATGCCATAATTTGTAGACAATAAATTTGCATCAAGAATATATTCGAGATCGAAAAATATTGCAACAATCGTAGTATTTTATTTCAAATATTTGAGTGTTACAATCTCTATGGTTCCTCTAAACTACTTTTCAAATATAAATTCAAGGGCCTTTGAGCTTGATCTTGAACCTATATTCGTTGTCACGGACGATGATCTTGAATTCACTAGAACGAACTTTGATTTGAACTCGTACTCCTTGAATCTTGATTTGTTCTTCGTTCTTGAGCTTGAACTTGATACTTGTAGAGAAATTTGCGGCGTTTTATCTATGAGCTCTCTCTTGCTTCTTGTTATAACTTCTGGTATCTTTTCTGAGTTATATACCCCTATTTATAGTTGTGGGAGAGAAGAGTTATGATAAGAACAAACTCTTTCCGACCAATCATATTGAAGTGTAACAAGACCGCATTTGATTGGTCAGAACATGCCACTTGCATACGTGGCGCGATTTCATTGGCTTTTTAATTTAGCTTGATATGCATTGTCATTTAGACACGTGGCACGATCCTATTGGCTCTTTTGTTTGACTTGGTGTGCCACGTCATTTAACACGTGGCACCAAACTGGGCCTCTAGGAAGATGACATCTTGGGCTTAATGTAGTGGGCTCATTACTTTAGCCCGATTAAATGGGCAAGCCCAATGGATTAAGACTTATTTATTTAATCCATATATATTAAATTATATAATTAATTCAATTATATTAGTCCAATAAGTTTATTTGAACTAATATATCTTGAATTTAAAATAAAGTCTAAATTATTTTACGGATTTAATTCCAGTAAAATTTATATGCCTACAACTAGGGGTGTTCATAAAAACCCGAAAAACAGAACCAAATCGAAAACCAAATCAAACCGGCCAAAAAAACCGATACTTTTTGGTTTGGTTTGGTTTTGGTTTTGAATTTTAAAAACCGATCAAATTTGGTTTGGTTTTAGTTTTAATCAGGAAAAAGAAAACCGAAAAAAAATCGAACCAAACCGACTATAGGAGTAGCTATTTCAAATTTATTATTACACCTATATATATGTATATTTTTATACAAAGTTTCAAAAATTTAATGGTAAATGTTAATAGTTTGCTCTTTTAGTATAGTTCTTTACCTTTACATTCTAGTTTGATTGGTAGTCTTCTTTTGTTAAGCGTAAGAATCCATTTCGTGTTAAAAATAATATATTTTTAATTGAGTCCTTAAATTATTCATCACTATTTGATTCAATTATCATCAATATATCTTGGTAAATAATAGATTTCTCAAAGGGCATTTGATTTGATAGTGTTACGTTGAAAATATGATCTCTGGAATATGTGTTTGGTAGTGTATGTCTTATATTTAAGGAAAAACCGAAAAATAACCGGAAAAAACGAAAACCCGACAAAACCCGACATAAACGGAATCGAGATAAAACCGACTTAATTGGTTTGGTTTGGTTCTAATATTTGAAAAACCGACTTACTTGGTTTGGTTTCTTTTTAAGGAAAAACAGGTCCAAAACCGAACCATGAACACCCCCACCTACAACATCAATTGAATATTTGCCATTCAAATGGCTCTAATAAATTAGAAGTAGAAAGAGACAGATTATGATTTTACAAATTTTCAACTTGTACCTGATAAAAGAAAAAATTCCAACAAATATAAAATCCTCTTAGTTGCTTTAAAAAAGATGATGCACATCAAATCTCAGTGTCAGAGATAGACGTCTATGGAGAAAGAGTCACTTTAAGAAAAGCATTTACAACTTGCAGTTTAAAGTTGAACATCTAGCCTAACACTTCTCTGTTGAATGAAAGATAAATAAATTCATGTGTATTAGCCCCCATCTTGGGATAAAAGAAACTTCCATCCAGTTACTTTCCTCAATGTATCATCCCACAAACAACATTTGGTATGGTTCACAAAGTTTGTCACTTCTTGCCATGATTCGCTTAATCAATCAAGGGCTGCTGATGTTTTTAAGGTCTTGACCCTGGGCATACCAATTTGGTATAATCTTTGCGAGATGCGGGTATAAATCCTTGAACGAATTACGGATCGTGCCTTCAGCAACTCCAGTTGCAAGTGAGACATCTACATCCATGCAGTTTTATGAATGAGATATCGGATATTCAATATGCATATACTTCATCCAGAAATTGAATAGTAACGCGAGTGGCGTTTAACCATCATTTTAAGTTAATTTATTTAACTACCCCCCCACCCCCCTCCACCCCCCGACCGGCCGAGACAAAGACGATCAATTTAGATCATCATAGAGCATCAGATAATCTAAAGTCTCTGGGCTAATGTAACAACATAAAGATGTATAGGATTTGAGGATGACATTCACTAGATATAAGAAGGAAAACTCGTTCCACTTAGGTTTTCCTGAATATATCTTAGCTATTTTTATGCAATTCCGATCAAATAGGGAATTGGTTTCTTAGTATACATGTCAGGACAAAAAGGAGGAGAATAATGGTGATTTCTTGTTACCTTTAACTGGCTTCTTTTCATCCGAAAGCTGAGTGACTATGTAGATAACTGCTGCAGCAATAGAAATGGGACTTCTCCTGCATTAATGAATTCAATAGAGTAAACAAATTTGATCTATCCTGTTGGGTATCAAATGTTTGTTCAAGCATTTTAGAAATTGGAACAAGTACCAAGACCAGCTCTTAGAGAGATGCCGAGCAGCATTAAGTGATAATTGCATCTCAAGAAGGGTGACAGACGTATAAAAGTCCTCACTCTTGTGTAAGAAAATCAAAAATCAATAAATTGTAAGAAGCTACATAGCAACAACAATTATGCCTTAGTCCTTGTGATTGAGGTCAGCTATATGAATCCTTACTAACCATAGGATCTCAAAAAACAGTATTCAGGTGGAAGAATCACTCTCTAAGCCTGTGACTTCTTAATACAAGTGACACCAGCACTTCTTTACCTAACTAATACTTTAAGATCCAACGCCATGCTTCAGGAAACAGTCAATCTCAACTTGTCTCAACTACAAGCCTGGGAATTCATACTTTAGCAACAAGGCATTCGCTTCAGGAAAGAAAGCAGGTGTTTCTCTCTCAAACCTGTAGATGTCTACTCAGGGAACTACACGACAGAATTTGACCCAAAAACTCGAAGATAAAGAATTAACATCTGCATGGTTTAGTAAAACCACAGAAACTACTATGAAGCACCTCCAGTTTTCCCTTCTCAATTAAAGATCAGTATTTGCAGTTATACTCTAGATGCCATGGATCACAAATATTTGTGGGTGACATTGGTCACTTGTGAAATCGAATTTATTCTAAGTCCACAATCTGAATATTCCAATACAAGAATGATATAACAATCAAAATAAGCGAACCTAGGCTTGCTTCTACACAATGGTTAAAAAAGGTCCAATATTGAAATTAAAAAAAACAGGGATTATGTCTCATTTAGGACTTTACAGTATATCTTTCACTAAGCTTTCCTCTAAAGAGAAGCTCTTTTGACTTGCAACTTTTACAAAGATTATACGTCTCCTTTTGCATCATCAAATGAAAATCTTTAATGAAAGGGAAAAAAGCAGGAAGAAAAAGGGACATCTAGCAAGGCCCCAAAATTAAAAATATCATTGCATGCTGTAAATTGTATTTCAGAAGGATATCAGTAACATATATATAATGGAAACAAACCAACTATATCTATGAATCTAGCAAGCCCTTAAATATAAAGATTCCCCCAATTAATACAAATAAAAAAATGTGGCAAGAGCCTCTAAATTCTAGAGCACAGTCATATTGATAATATGCAGTCATGTATTTCTAACCTTTCTTTTTTCATTCACAGAATTCAGTATTAACGCGAGAATTTCATATAAACACCTACTCCTCCCCCTCCTTCCCCCTCCCCCAAAGGAAAAATAATGCATGACTTAGTTTAACAAAATCAAATCACTTATAAAGTAGACCTTAGGTTGCTGGTATTTCTTTTCCGATAATCAGTCTCATAATTTTAACATTTTTAGCCAACTAAACATTGTCATAATAGTGAACTTGGACAATGACTCAGTCAAGAATATACCAATAACGTTTCCCTCTTTTATATTGTAAAGGGGATATCAAACAGTTAACAGAGTATTTGAACAAATATATAGGGTAAGACATATGCCTTCAGATTACTAATATAACTTCTTGTAGGCAAGAGATCAAAGGGTAAAAAGTGAAAAGACCCTTTAACAGATGCCTCAAGTTATATCTTTATTCCCAGCTTCTATTTTGTCTTTGACGTACTCAATCATAGCATTTGTTTTTAGATGGTCCTTCTATTCATCATAGACCAAGTTGGGTTCAATATATGGCAGCAGGTAAGCAACGTGTGACAGATTGAAGAGCGATTTTGAAAGTAAAAAAAGCTATCTAAAAGTAAAGAAAAGAAAACCAAAGGAGAAGGTAGAGAAAACAAAAAAAAAGGAGGAAAGCGAGTCATAGAGTCAGAAAGGGACCCATCTAAGTTCTTCAGCAACAGGCTTCCACCAGTCCCCCTGCTGGAAAGTTCAGCACAATCCTCCTTCAGCATTCCCGTTAACCCTCACCCATCAGCCCACAAATTCAAATGCTAGTCACCCTTCACCTCCAACTTCGTAACTGCCACCTTTGCCATCCCTAACTGCCTATCCATTGCACCCCACCCCGACACATACTTTTTCCCCCTTCACCCTGCAATGTACCCTGTCCCTTGCAGCTCCCTTCTTCCCACCTTCCCAGTACTTCACTAGTCTCTTCTCAATATCAGACCAGCATCCTGTTGGCATCTCCTTTCCTTAGTCTTCTTCCGCCCTTCTCTTAACCCTCTATAACCACCCCTTTTCCCATACTTCAGGTCCGTCACTGCTGCCCCACGGTAACCTCCCTAGAATCAACTTGAATGCTAATGAAGTGTGGATGTGACTGTATGGAAGCAAGGTAGGATGTGGTCTATACCTTCATGAATGTCTTTCCTCCCATTTTAAATTTTAATTCCGGGTGAATCTCAAAAACATCTCATAAGGCAATAGAAACAGAACTCTGTTGTAGAATGAGAGAAGGACCACTTAAACACATAGGAAGTTGGGAATAATTTATAAAGGGAAGCCCGGTGCACTAAGCTCCCGCTATGCGCGGGGTCCGGGGAAGGGCCGGACCACAAGGATCTATCGTGCGCAGCCTTACCCTGCATTTCTGCAAGAGGCTGTTTCGACGGCTCGAACCCGTGACCTCCTGGTCACATGGCAGCAACTTTACCAGTTACGCCAAGGCTCCCCTTCTAAAGGACAGCTCAGTGCACTAAGCTCCCGCTATGCGCGGGGTCCGGGGAAGGGCCGGACCACAAGGGTCTATTGGGAATAATTTATATTCAGCATTTTACTTGGAGATCAGAGATAGATTAGTCACATCAGAGATTGATTAGTCACAAGAGCAATTTCCCTTCTATTCGTTTTTTGGTACTCCTGTACATGCAGTCATTTAAAATGGATAATTTGAGCTTAATTACCAATATTAGAAGGTTCATTTCCAAACAATCAAAAAGTAGAACAATCTAACAAAAAATCTGGGATTTTTACCCCAGAAATTTAATATTCCCACGACTAAAGTCATCCTATAGCCTAACCATACAAGGTAGCAGATAAAATGAAGACTAGGTTCATCTTCTGAACATGACGTGAAAACATAATTCACACACACTTTCATTTCTGCTGCTAAGGGTCATGATTCTGCTATATAGTTTAGTTATATATAATCTTTTGATACCAAAAACAAACACTATTATCATGATGTAAATACCAATTAACAGTACCATGTCTATGGTTTTGTCTTCTCCTGGAATATACTAGCATGTAAGGCACAAAAAATTTAGAACTGATTAACGATCTTACATAGTCATAGAATTGAAGACTTCCCTCATTCACCCGCTTATTTCAAAATATATGCTCCACTATTTGGAACAAATGAGATTAATTATAGTAAAAACAGCATTTAATTGAACACTTAATAAATTTGAATAAGCATCTGCAGATCAGCGTAGATACAAGCAGAGCTACCTTATGTCAAACTCTTCAGATTTTTTGACTGCTTCTTGGGCAGCTTTAACTGTTTGATTTGTCATCCCAAGATTTGAACAAAAGCGCCGCTAAAGATTAAAAGTATGTGTCAGTAACCAAGTTAAGAGAAACAGAAAAGGTTCTGATTTTAAAGGAAATCCAATTCAGAAAATACTGGTTAAAAGGAGAATGATGTCTTTTTTCCTTTCTTCTAAAAAATTAAACCTCACCATGAAATCCCCAGCATGTATAGTTCCCATTTCCACGGATTGACCCATCTCGAGCTCTAGTTGTTTCACTATGTATTCCTTTGCTCGGCCAATTTCCTTCTTTGTAGCTCCATTCGCAACAGAGCAAATTTCTATTTCCAATCCAGAGTTTCAAGAAAGCTCATTCACATTGAAAGTTAAATCAGGAAGCACCAAAATGACAAAAGATCTTAGCCTGTACCCTTCACAGTTCGAGGCTTGTCTTCTTGTCGACAAGCAATATACAGGCAAGCAGCTAATATAGCATCCTGGTTCCTTCCTCTACTAGATTTTTGATCTTCTACCTTCTTGTAAATCTCATTAGCTCGGTCCTTTGAACAGAATGTAAATCATTATAACAAAATACTGAACAATAATGATCTATGGTTTTTGGTGTCAACTTACTTTAAATGAAGTATAACAACAATTTCAAATTCATCTTACAAAAGGAAAATAACATAGAGTAGAGCAGTTCCTTATTTTTTGTACATGTTTAATAAAAAAAATTCCTATTAATGTTGAGAAAACAATACTGTGAAGTACATTAAAAAATCTGCCAATTCCTATCAAAATGAGAAGTCTTGCAGAATATCAAATATAAGGTCACAGAACCAAAGACAACTTCCAACCCCTGGAAGAACATACTATACTATTTAGGTCACAAGCAAAAAAGTTTTCGAAAGAATACACAAACATCTCCGGTATTTATATATATGGTCAAATCAATCAGTTGCTACTTGCTAGTAAAACGATAACCTCCAGTTAATGTATTGGCAAATACAAAGAGCTCATCAAGGAAAGGTTCATCTCTTCATGCAATGATGCAAATGGAGGAGGGGAGTGGGGGGTGGACAGTAAACCCATTAACATTGTCGAGTATTGGACAGCTTATCCAACTCTGTGATAAAAAGAGCAAATGAATCAGGCAGCCTTTATTTAATGACCATAGCAAAAGAGATAGCATGACTCTTCATACATAATGAATGAAATTGGAAAGAAAAGAAAATTGGCCGCTTCTTAACACATTTACATATATCTGCACATACTTGATACTTCCTGACATCTCAATGTCATTCGATGAAAATGAGTATCAGGACTTCAGGAGTAGAACATACCTTTATGGTTGCAACCAGGCCCAACCTGAAAAAGATATAATTGCATCAGCCATCTCTAGGAATTCCACGTTAAAAGTTCAGTTAAAGTAAATAGCCTGACCAAACACATACTGAGAACGAATATTACAGGTTTCACATTACAAGTTCATTTTGTTCAAATAGGATAACATAACAGAAAGAGACGGGGTAACAAACACATACATAGAAAGAATACCACAGTGAAGGGCGTTGTGTGAACAATAAGTTGAAATTTCTGACCTACTCAATAACTTGAGAGCAAAAAGTGAATGTTGCAATTCATTTATCGCCTAAAGTAGTTGCCTTGAAGAATAGTAAACTAGAAAAACAGAATCACAACCATATCATGCTCTCTATGGCCTGGGAATTATTCTTGGTGCAACGAGACAACTTTTCAGGTGAAAAGACACATGACGCTTCCAGCCACTTAAGGCAATGCAACAATACATAAAGGCATGGATAGGAATTTCCCAAATAGTATAAGGGTAGGAGACACTGCATGTCTCAGCCACGAGAGCTCTTGGCAATTTCAAACCAAGCAAAGGCCTTCAATCTTTTAATCACAAAATTGTTGTAGCTAGACAAGTATTTTCTTTTCGTAGTCTGCATGATACACATGCATCTTCCATTATTGGATGCCATCTAAACTAATTTCTCCTTCGCATATAAAACTTTTAATTTTTGTGTAAAAGAGATGAAATCTAAAACATAGCCTTTTTCTGATTTAATAGACCATAACACTATTTTTTAAGGCAATGCAATGACTTTGGACTAAACATTCCTGATTCCTACACAACACGGAAGCATCAAAAACAGAAAACATGAGCATTTTAAACCAAGGAACATACTACCAGACAAGCATAAAGACCCAAGTTAGTACAAAATGGCAAGGTCTAAAGCTAACCCTTCACATTCCACTTTCAACTAAAGTCCAATATCTGCTTCTTCTATCAACAATATTTTGGAATCAAAAATGATGTGCCCTTTATATACAGCATTCATTTAGTCTCATCTGACTGTCAATATCTTGTCTATTGTTTCGCTTTGTAAAATGCACAACAATGGTCCAGCCTTCTAACTAATGCAAATTTTTGCAATCCTTCATGTTTTTGATAACTCACCATGGTAATCCTAGCTAACAACCGTTGCCAACCTTAAGGATTTTTCAAGCAATCAAGAGTAAAAACTGCACACACCGCTATGAGCATTCACCTCGTCAAGAAAATCAATAAATACAAAATTTGCGCATATGCTCCTGCTGCTTAGACCAATAAAGAAGCAACAAGTACTTCAGCCTAAAATATTCACACTGTACTACAACATAGGCCGCTTGTAGCAAAAGACAATAGGTTGAGCAACTAGAAAAGATGCAAACCTTTCGCACACCAACTATGGGTCATTTTTTAACAGTAATGAATCCAGAAATACAATTTTTACCACGATGGTCAACAATTCAATTCAGTTGGCTCCAAGTTGAGCGCTAGAGTACCCAGGCGCATACTCAAACCAGGACAAAGAATGGAGAGGGTAAAAGAGTACAACTCAGTAATTAATTCTACTCCAACACAGGTAATCAAATAAACCAAATGTGTAAATCTCCACTCACCTAGCTCACCTGCACCAATCACACAAGGGGATTTAAAAACACAACAGGTGTCACGCCAAGGATTTTAACCTGTTATCTAAACTAGTTCTCTTATGCAAGGGAATTCAACAGTTGATATATAAACAAAACAAATGGTTTTTGCGTTATATGCACTGTATAATTTTCCAGCGAAGGGGATTCAATTAATACATCTACGGGTAAGTTTTTCCTTCACCCCATATCCCACAATCCAACAAAAAATTAGTGAAAAACCCATATCAAAAATATCCAACCTTTTGTATCAAAAAGCAAATAACAAAACTAAAACTAAAAGCCAGAAAAATAAAGGAAAAGATTATAATGCACCTATCAGACATAACACCAATGGCTAGAGCAAAAATCAGAGTAACCCCATATAAAAAAATCCAACCTTTACACCAAAAAAAAAAAAAAAATATATATATATATATTAAAACCCAGAAAAATAAAGTGAATCCAGATTGTAAAATACCTATCAGACATAACACCAATGGCTTTAAAAGCCAAGATAAGGGATCGATCGGAATTAGAGCCACGATTCTGCCAACGGCCCAAAGAGGAAGTCAAGAAATCACTGGTAGTTCCATTGGGTTTAGAGATCACAGTGGATAAACCACCATCAGAAAGCAACGGGTTACTGGGCCCACCAACTCGATTCGGGTCATTATCCCCTGACTCATTAGCAAAAGTTCTCCACTCAGATGTTTCATCGATTGAATGAGATTCCAAAACTAGCCCACATTCTGAACACACCATATCACCTGCTGAATGATCAAACACAACTTCTGTACTCTTCTTACAGTCTGAACAGTACGCATCCATTGATATACACTACTAGTAAAAATAATTGGTGAATTTTTTTTAATAGTTCTGTTTTTGGGTGTAAAGAAGAAATGACACAGTTGTTTTTGTTGTGATATATATAGTTGGAGGCGAGGAAGTGGCGGGGGAAAGGGTGAGAGTAGGAAAGTCATGCGGGACTTGTGGGGTTGGTTCAGTTTTGAATTTGTGACAAAATAAGGGAAAAAGTAAGAAATTGTGACATTTTTTTATTGTGTCCTTTGTTTGCTTCTCTTTGGAAACAAGTGTGACCAGCTTCTCTTTCTTTTTCTTCTTTGTCCAAGAATATAATGGGATTTTTTCACTTTTAAAGGGTGTTTGGCTAAGCTTATAAGCACTTTTCGGCTTACCTACGCGTTTGGTAAAGTTAAAAGTGCTTATAAGTCAAAAATAAACCAAAAGACATAAGCTGGTCATCACAGCTTATGAATTTCTAGCTTATAAGCATTTTAAGTTTGACCAAGATTTTTACTATTTTATCCTTAAAATATTCTTTTTTAGAACAAAACTTCTACATCGATATTTACTACCTCAAGTATTCAACGTTAACCTACCCCCCCCCCAACCTATTCAGGTCTGCAATTCTCATTGACTATTTAAGATAAGCAAATTCTCTATTCCTTTCCATACTTATATCTATGTGATTGTGTATTAATCTTTGAATTGTATGTAATAAATAAGGACATATCAAATTTTTGGTGTATCGCTTTCTAAGTGTTGTGGTGATGAAAACAATATTTGTTTCTCTTCAAATAATTTGTCATATTTAGGTTTATTTTTTACTGAGAAACTTTTGTCATATGATTATATGCTTATCATAAAATAAATTATATTTATCATAAAAATTATCTTATCTAAGCACAATAGTATTTAAAATAAAATGACAAATAGAATATTTTGTATTTGAATCGATCTGGAATCTAAAATTTTGAAGAAATTACGCCATTATAAGTGTAAACAGTTCTAAGGTTATTTAAGTCATTTTAAAAAAAGAGCTTATCAGCATTTTTTTATCAAATACTGCAGCAACTTATTATCAATTTCAGTACTTGTACCCATACACGTAACTGCTTATTTATTAAATCAGTTTCAGCACTTAAAAGTATTTTTCAGCACCTAATGCTTATCAGCTATTTTAAATCAGCTAATCCAAACGGGCTCTCCATCCGATGTTTCGGTTTTAAGTAATAAAAATTAAAAAAAAAAAATTAGTGATAGGAAAGTTTCCTCTACGTAGAGCACCAATTCGAATTAATGAGACATTTGTTCTCGGATGGTTTAACAAAAATATTTTACAATCTCAACTAATTTGTAGTTAAGGTTTATTAATTTTAAGTACTCTACTAATAAAATTAGACGCATATATATNATCTAGTTATTACTAATATATATAAGAGCGAGAGAAGCAGCTGAAGGTCGTCATGTGTGCTTGGTGCTAAAGGGTATTTAAGTATTTTCACATACCTTCTATTTTCCCAAACGCTTACACGTGCGCTGAACTTTGCTGGGTAAGCTGCATATGAGATGAGAATGCATCTACAGATACATGTCGATGTTTTCCACGAAATTTCATCGAATTTTACTCCCAGCATCTCTCTTCCTCTGTATCTTCTATGGAATTTTCTCCGTGAGCTTTTGCTGGATTTCTCAGTAACAACACGAGAATTTCTCCGCCGTTCTTCTTTACTCACTGGTATTTGATTAAAATTGGTAGGTGTTTAAATTAGGGATTTCTGTTCCATCTCACAGACTGAAACACTTCTGAAATCTTCGATTTTCTGTCTCTGTCAGTGTAATTTCCTTACCAAAGAACTCAGCTTTTCCGATCTTTAATAACAACTTATTTTGCATATCCATAAGTGCAATTTCTTTATTTTTTTGCTGATCGTGCTATTGCTTAATGCATACAAGTTTGATGGCAGTTGACAAAATTTTGTTCAATATAAATGATCTTAAGATATATATTGAAACTTTTATAATATTAATATTTCACGAAGAAATTATATTACGATTCAAAGCTGTAGATTGCCTGATGAGCAACTTTGTCGTTGCGCTAACCTTGTGGATGAAAATATTGATAATATTTTGTTTTAAGTCTTTATGGTACTATAATGTGTTGGACTTTAAGCCATTGAGCTTTAAAGTAGAAGAAGTGTGAATTGGAAATGGAGGGAAATAAAATGGAGGAAAAAATAAAAATTTGAAGAAGTGAACTTTTGTCTTGCACTTTGTCCCTCATTGGTGAGGGACAATCACATTTGTGTGCTTATATATAGAATCACTTCTTAAAGCTCTTAAAAGGAGTTGAAGAGAATGAACCCTCGCGTCGTCGTCGCTCGGCTCGGCTTCGGCTTCGGATTTGTCAAATGATCGATAAGATTATTTTTGGACAAAATTTATTTAATTATTTAATAATTAATTAAATGCCAAATCACTGCTGAAAATACGCCAGAACCCTGCTGAAGATTCTTCTGAAAAGGCACCTTTTCCAGACACCTCTTCTGATAATTGCCTATAAATTCTGAGGCAAGGCTCCATTTTCTACACACGAAAAACGCTCCAGAACTTCTTTCTTTCTGAATATACTGCATTCTAATTCGCAGTCTCTCTCTCTCAAATTCGTAAGTGTGATCTTGCTCTGTTCTTTGAGTTCGTTGGGATCTTGCAGTTTGTATTGCCACTGTTGCAGGAAGGTTTATTCCGTTTTATCCTGGGAGGATTTAATCCATTACCTTGGCAACTTGTGAGGGGGTTAAAATTCCTTAAGGACACACAAGAAACTTGTGGACTCGGAATATTTCTGATTCTCTACTATTTTCCAGATTTCTTTAATTCTTCTAACAGTTTTTTTTTCTGATTTTGTGTTTTAACACAGTAACGCTCACAAGCTTAAGGAATTTTACTACTAACGTTTCTGTGTTGAAATATATATTAAACTGTTATTCTTATTTTGTATACTGTTTTGGAGACTAAAGCCTTCGTGCTTTCTACTCCAATAATTGTTCTGTCCGGTTTAAAGTATATAAAAACTTTACCGGAATAATAAAACGTACGGGCTGTCCGGTTTAAAGTATATAAAAACTTTACCGGAATAATAAACGTACGGGTTTGAAGTATATAAAAACTTCACCATTGTTACGTGTTGTATGTTTGGTTTGGTATTCAGTTTGAAGATATCAAAACTTCACTGATTTAACAAAGTTCTGTTGTGTTTCCAACTCTACAGAAAAGATGACGAACGAAAACCAAACTAATGGAAATGTTGTGGGAACGGGAGCTACTGTTACGAGTGTTGCTGCCTCGTCAAGCCGTTCTACTCCTGCTCATGCTATGGCACCAGCAGAAAAACCCGGAAAGTTTTCCGGTATTGACTTCAAACGTTGGCAAATGAAGATGCTCTTCTATCTTACTACGTTGAGTTTGCAACGTTTCATCAAGGAGGATCCTCCGGTCTTGGCAGAAAGTACTTCGGATGATGAACGACTTGTTGTAACTGAAGCATGGAAACATTCTGATTTCTTGTGCAAAAACTACATTTTGAGTTGTTTGGAAGATGGCTTGTACAATGTCTATAGCGTCATGGAAACTTCAAAAGCATTATGGAATGCGCTTGAGAAGAAGTGCAAGACTGAGCATGTCGGACTTAAGAAGTTCGTGGCTGCTAGATTTTTGGATTTCAAGATGATTGACACTAGGTCAGTCATAACTCAAGTCCAAGAATTACAAGTCATTGTGCATGACCTCCTTGCTGAAGGTATGACCCGAATCAATAAGTTTATTAATAAGATTTATCTTATTATTAATTTTGAATCTATTGCTGAAGGTATGGTCATAAATGAGACCTTTCAAGTCGCCGCTTTCATTGAGAAATTACCTCCGTTGTGGAAAGATTTTAAGAACTATCTAAAACACAAGCGGAAGGAGATGACACTTGAAGACTTGATTGTGCGTTTGAGGATAGAAGAAGACAACAAAAATGCTGAAAAGAAGTCACGTGGGAACTCGACAATAATGGGGGCTAACATTGTTGAGGAGGCGCCACAAACCAAGAAGAGAAAGAAGGCTTCTGGACCAAAGAACTACCCAAGCAAGAAGAAGTTCAAGGGTAATTGCCACAACTGTGGAAAATCTGGGCATAAGGCCGTGGATTGTCGTGCACCAAAGAATGATAAGAAGAAGAAGAATCAAGCTAACATGGTTGAAAAAGCTGAAGAAATGGAGGACTTGTGTGCCATGTTGTCTGAATGCAACTTGGTAGGAAATCCTAAAGAATGGTGGATAGATTCTGGAGCCACCCGCCATGTTTGTGCTAACAAGGAGTTATTTTCTTCTTATGCCCCCGCAGGACCCGACGAGACAATTTTCATGGGAAATTCGTCTACAGCCAAAATTGAAGGAGTTTGTAAGATTGCGTTGAAGATGACGTCGGGAAAAATAGTGACTCTAAACCAAGTTCTCCATGTTCCAGAAATTCGCAAGAATGTTGTGTCGACTTCACTTCTTGTCAAGAATGGATTCAAATGTATTTTTGTTTCCAATAGTGTTGTACTAAGTAAGAATGATTTGTATGTAGGAAAAGGTTACCTGAATGAGGGCCTTTTTAAGCTAAATGTAATAGCAGTTCCTATCAATAAAGTGAATGCTTCTTCTTACTTACTTGAGTCAAACACTTTATGACATTCGCGTTTAGGACACGTCAACTTCAAAACATTGCGAAAGATGATAAATTTAGAAGTATTGCCAAAATTTGATTGCATTAATTCCAAATGTCAAATATGTGTGGAATCAAAGTATGCTAAGCATCCTTATAAGTCCGTTGAAAGGAATTCAAGTCCTTTAGACTTAATTCACACAGATATTTGTGACATGAAGTCAACACCCTCTCGCGGTAGGAAAAAGTATTTTATTACTTTTATTGACGATAGCACGAGATATTGCTATGTTTATTTACTTAATAGTAAAGATGAGGCAATTGATGCTTTCAAGCAGTACAAGAGTGAAGTTGAAACACAACTAAACAAAAAGATCAAAATGATAAGAAGTGATAGGGGTGGCGAATATGAATCTCCTTTTGAAGAAATATGTTTGAAAAATGGCATTATTCACCAAACAACTGCTCCTTACTCTCCACAATCTAAC